AGGTGCAATTCGAAGTGAACTTTGTGGATCGATTTTCACATAACTGAGTAGCTTTTTGAAAATGGATTCCAACTATGTAGCTTTAAGGATGCTTACTTTGAATGCGAAAATCAGAATTTTGTCTACTGTGCTTTGAGGCGATATCGGGAGCCTATATATAGTTCTAGGGATTAGATAAGTCGTGATTTTCTACAGTCAGTGATCATTCATGAAGAGTTTAGTATGAATACTTCCGAAACAGTGCGTAGCTGCTCCCTCATCATCGGAAATTTCACTCGAAAAAGCAGAAAACCTATGCTCCTTGTAAAAACATGGCGCGCACCGGTTTTTAAACTTTTATATAACCTTTTCTTTTTAAGTGAAAGTACTAATTTTCAAGTAGTGGGGAAGTAATCTTCCTGGAGAATAGGCACACCAATTTCTGAGAATAGAAATCAACTAATGTCGGCTATTCTTCGTTTTGAAAAGCCTCCGTCGTTTGAATTTGGTCTATGGCCAAATTCATCCATTTTGGAGAAAACTGGTATCGAAGTGTCTAGGACGATCTGAGAAATGTCATGATCTTATTTTCACCTAATGCCGGGAAATATTCGCTACTTCACGTTTCACAGACTACTTTTAATAGATGAGAATGTCCTCTGGCTATAACTACAGCAGGGGTCGCTGTTAATGACGTACCCTCAGGAACTTTGATGGATGGGGGACTTCAAAATCAAACTTTAAAAAATTTCAGGCAGACCATGTTATAGAGCTCAAGGAGTTGAGTTCACCCATATAGCACACTATATAAAAAGTTGTGAATCAACCTCGTTACAGAGAAAAAACGAAAAAACGCGAAAACGCGTTTTTTTCGTGCTTTTTTGAACATTTAGGGTGGGTATTGTAGCTCAGTAGTTAACAACTTGAAGTTTGATATTGTTATTTTCTGGTTGTAGAGACAATATGGTCGGGGATTGAATCATCCGAGTCTCTTACCTCTCAACCTCGACCAACGTTATGTGTTCTATATTGGAGTATAAGGAGACAAAACCGTGAAAAACTGAAGACTCAGTGAAACACCTTAAAGTTCTTATTAAAAGGCTCCATATTTCTGGTTTTCTCAGGAAAAAGGAATAAAGAAGGCGTTTGCTGTCCTCCACTTGCTTTTTTTGAATTTTGCTAATTAAAAGCACCAAAGCTCCACTCGCTGAACAATTTCCCTCCAAGACGAAGTTTCTAGTCAACTGTAGGCAATGTGACCATGGTCAAATCGTTTTCAGTGACCACTTTTCCTTCAAAGGCCTTTAACAGCTGTGGATTGTGAAGCTGAAGTGGTCAACCAAGACATCGAAAAGTTATACTAACGTTATTACAGACACTTTGAAAGTGTTGCCAGCATGTTTCTTGCAGAGAATCACTAATAGCCTTTATAATTGGTAGAAGTTGGTGATTATGAGTGGTGAGGTTGTTGGGCTTAATGTATGTCGCTAATGGAACAGCCATAATGGACAGCGGTGCCGATACCGTATATAAAGGCCTACTATATAAGAGAGCTTCAGCTGTCAGATGCACTGGTTTCTATTCACGATTTAGTTCCGCGACCTTCATTTAGCGTTTACTTTCAGGTAGCGAATGAGCGTTGCGTCGTTCTCAGTCCGATTCCTCCTTACCCTAGTATGTTTTCTTTCACAACCCTCTAATTTTTTCAAACCATGTGAAATATTTATTCTTCCAGGATTCCNTCACTTCGAATTTGCTCCTTTAGCACTGCTTTTATACCCCTCCTATTCTCTCGGCCACCCTATTGGCTCTTCAGCTCAGCTAGCCAGGACAGGGTATGGTCCCGCGACCTCT